TCTATGTTCAAGCTTCATCGACTTATGTACACTTAAATACGTTTAATACATATCCTTATTTTTGACCTATGCATTTCTTTTTGGAAGAGTATACTTTATTTATTCACACCGTTAATGATCCGGGTTAGAATTGATCTCAGCAAACCCATGCTTGTCGTAAGAAGCGACTAACGGGATCGGATGGTCAGGCTTGCTGACTTGGTTGAAACAAGTCATCATATCCCAGCTTAGATCGCTGCTGGTGCTGTGAAGCACTGGATTTTCTGGTCCAGACACGATTATTTACAGGCTGCTGCAGTATAGCTGGAATATTGCAGAGTGCAGCGTCAAGCAACATCAAAACAAAACATTTATTCATTTCCATAAGGATATCTCGATCAAGAAACACAAACTACCCCAAATGACGGGACTCAATTGACAATTTTATGACGCTTGTGACAATGGATATTCTTACTGCCATGGAGGCTGGTATTTTGCAGGAAGTCTCGCCATAAGTCCTGCCACTGAGATATGACTTCTTCCCGCAATGTCACACTATCCTTAAGAGGGACCACGGGCTCCACCTTCATCCTGCCAGTGGGGACAACGCCGCATTCAAAGAATATGATCAATGCTTGCTGTGTAGTCTAGAAAAGATTGACATGTCATATTTTCAGAGTATCATCGATGAAATCACCCCAGACGCCCTGTTGTTTGATGAAGTAATACAATATCATAATTGTTTAATGGTCAACAGTGCCAGAGCTGTTATATTAGCCTCTGAGTAAATATATTTATTTACACAGTGTGTGACGAATTGTATTATCTGTGTAATATTCATCTCAGTCAAACAGATTTACAATTGAACTGTAAATTGTTAACACGAGCTTTTGTTCCACCTCTCATATGTTATATTTGATGTGATTTAAAAAGATCATCCGATATGTTTAATTTGCTTTCTCGGAACTTGTCTGAGTGCATGTTACAGCTGCCCAATTGATCGATGTTTTTACAGTTGCTAGGCATTTGTGCAGTTTGTTGAAATCCTGGTCTCTCTTATTAACGGTTGCCCGTGAAGGTCCGGGTTAGAATGAACCTTCAGTAACCCATGTTTGTCTCCCCGTGAAGGTCCGGGTTAGAATGTACCTTCAGTAACCCATGCTTGTCTCCCCTTGAAGGTCCGGGTTAGAATGAACCTTCAGTAACCCATGCTTGTCTCCCCGTGAAGGTCCGGGTTAGAATGAACCTTCAGTAACCCATGCTTGTCTCCCCGTTAGAATGAACCTTCAGTAACCCATGCTTGTCTCCCCGTGAAGGTCCGGGTTAGAATGTACCTTCAGTAACCCATGCTTGTCACCCCGTGAAGGTCAGGGTTAGAATGAACCTTCAGTAACCCATGCTTGTCTCCCCGTGAAGGTCCGGGTTAGAATGAACCTTCAGTAACCCATTCTTGTAACCCATGCTTGTCAACCCAGTAACCCATGCTTGTGTGAAGGTCCGGGTCAGGGTTAGAATGAGTAACCCATGCTTCAGTTAACCTTCATAACCCATGCTTGTCTCCCCGTGAAGGTCCGGGTTAGAATGAACCTTCAGTAACCCATGCTTGTCTCCCCGTGAAGGTCCGGGTTAGAATGAACCTTCAGTAACCCATGCTTATCTCCCCGTGAAAGTCCGGGTTAGAATGAACCTTCAGTAACCCATGCTTGTCTCCTCGTGAAGGTCAGGGTTAGAATGTACCTTCAGTAACCCATGCTTGTCGTAAGAGGCGACTACCGGGATCGGGTGGTCAGACTCGCTGACTTGGTTGACAGATGTCATCAGTTCCCAATTGCGCTCGATGCTCATGCTGTTGATCACTGGATTGTATGGTCCAGACTCGATTATTTGCAGACCGCCGCCATATAGCTGGAATATTGCGGAGTGCGGCGTAAAACTAAACTCACTCACTTACTCTTTTCAACGGTACTTCATATGTTACAGACCTTTACAGTTTGGTCAGGAAATACACATTTACTGCAAACATCTATGAAGTTAATTATTTAATAATAAGAACTGTATTTTAATAAAACGTTTCAGAACGTAATAATGTGTAGAATCTTTGGATTTGTTTGATTGTGATCATTGCAAACCAATAGAACAGTCCGGTGCAGTAATAGGTACGCCAAGGCTCTCAAAACACAAAGTGTTTTCCTAATGCAAGATATTTACGATCCACACTCGCATGATGACCTCCACACATTAGAATATTGATGTAAAATGAATAATGTTGGTCCATCAGTATTGGTTGGATAAGTGTATATACCGGTTACCTTAACGTCCTCTTTTGATAAAATTGTGTGTGTCCGTGTGTGTGTGTGTGTCTGTGTAAATATCGAATGCAGCGAAGAACACTAAACACTAATTCTGTTGGAAAACTACAGTGCCCTCATGAAATGGTCATATTTTTTCTGATGTTTTTAAATGATTATTTTTGTACTTGGTATCAAGTACGTTCATTTTTGTTGACATTTGCCCTCGGTGAGGTAATATAACACAGTGTTGGTTAATTCTGTTCATTAGTTTGTTTCATACTGACAATATCTACTACCCGTATAGATAAAGGTTAAAATCGATCTTCAACAACCCATGCTTTTCATAAGAAGGACTAACGAGATCGGGTGGTCAGATTCGCTGACTTGGTTGACACATGTCATCGTATCTCAGGCCGATGCTCATGCTGTTGATCACTGGATTGTGTGGTCCAGATTCGATTTTTTACAAACCGACGCCATATAACTGGAATAAACAACCAACCAACAATATATACTATGAAAACGATACCGCTGCTGGTTATTACATCATGCTGATGATCAAATCATCGATTGTATTGCCACCTGGTTTGTGAGCAGGCAAAACACCAAAGGGAATCTCGGTAACCACAGTTATATGTACATTTAAGGCAGAGAGGAATTAATTAGTTTCTATTCTAAAGGTTTACTGCTCATTTAAACTGTCTCTTATAGAATATATCAAAGATGATCACTAGACTGTTCTGTTTAATGTTTTCTGGGGAAGATTTAGAAATCTTTAGATAGCATTAATTTAGGGTGAATGTGTGAGGTCTTGAAGGATACATTTAAATCTTCATTCATAATGAAACATGGTTGTCCTTTTCATGATCAAATGTCCAGGCACATTGTAACCCAAGTGATTCAAGCATAAAGAAACTTAGCACACAGCTTAGAGAATAAGTATATTTGTTTTCCTCTTTCAAAGTAAGAAAACTTTGAATATAATGATCCGGATTCTTTTCTTGCAACTACCCTTGATCACCAGACGTACGCCTACAACTAAAACAACCTATGATATCCGTGATGTTTCATTTCGATGATATTTAAAAGTTAAAGCAATGCAAAAAAAAAAGAAAGAACAATCAACCAATAAACCAATCAACCAAACAAAGGCAACATCACCATACATTTGGAGTACATTTCCAAGTTTGACGCAGCAGTGACGCAACGGATGTATGCTGCAGTTCCCATCTCTGACGTGTTACATATTTGTGTTTCTTCCGGTAAACAAAGGCAACATCACCATACATTTGGAGTACATTTCCAAGTTTGACGCAGCAGTGACGCAACGGATGTATGCTGCAGTTCCCATCTCTGACGTGTTACATATTTGTGTTTCTTCCGGTAAACACTTTACTTGGCTTTGCAAGTAAAGTGTAACGGTCGACGGGGTGGCTGGAGAGGTATTTACTACGACAATGTGGGTATGTGGATCACTCTCTTCCAGCCACGGCAACACAACAGTTTTAACTAGTAAATGATTTCACAAGTCATAAAAGTTACCAACAGCAAATTTATTATAAACAATAGCAAACTTCTAACAGTAAAGACAATATGCAATCACACCGCCCAAAGCGTTACTCTACAAGTTATAAGGTACAGTACAATTACATATAGTTACAACAGTAGTTTACATGCGCTTCATCGAGTAGAGTGCCTCCGGCAAGCCGGGTGTAAACTTACAGGTTATTCATGGTTTTCTTCCCTACGATGGAGATGCAACCATCCAACCCTCAGTGATTCGTCGGTCTCTCTCAACCGTTAATCGAAGAATCTCTCATCTCCGTTATTTCTATTGTGACGTAAAATCCTAGATACGAAACCTTCTAAAACACCTCGCTATGACGTCACAACATGGCGGCGCCCATGCCGAGACGTAGCTTACCTGAGGCAGCACAAGTCAACACCAAAGTCGCTACATACATTACGCCACATCAGGTAGACTGATGGAACGAGGTGAAGAGAAGGCTTGGATCTGTTTTACATACTAATTCCAACGGTATGAGCTCTCGTAATCTAAAGATCACGGTAAACTATATGTTGCAGTGCACTGGCACGGAACAACACTACATGGACAGTGTAACTGATACCGCGGGAATTAGTATACCCAAAATACGTCATAAGTAGTAAAGATATCTATATATTGTAATTATTATCGATTACCCTGTACATTACAAAAGGATACCATCAGAGGAGCAGGATACGTGCTTAAGCTTTATGAATATCTGTTATTACAAGTTGTTATTATTGCCTTGAAATGTGATTTTGTGAAAAGAGAAGACACACATTCTTTCCTGAAAACATTTGATGCAGATGAAACTGATCATTCTGTGGCGACGGCGTTTCTCTAACATGGCACAACAGGGCTCCACAGTGCTTCCTTTTAAAGTGAGTGAATGAACTAAATGTATTTTCCAGGTAGTCGAGGTACGTGTTGCTGGTGGGTGGGGATTATATCATACGATGGGATCCGACGTTTAGTTCTTCTAACTCATGCTTGAACCTACAAATAATTTACACATTTCATGTCAGTGATGTGTTTAAGGCTTATCTCTGACAACATACATCTTTGTCAAGGCTGTGTTTGGAAGCCATATTTTACAATGTTTAGATGGACGCAGTGAAGCGTTAAACTTTTACTTCCCGAAGGAAAGTTAACACAACACAAAGCCTCGTTATTATTTCAAAAAACGACATATGTATGTATTCAATGGAACATGAATATCCACAATTCACCACAGCAGGGATCAGCTTCCTCGAGACTGGAGCAATCTGAAACAAGGCAAGCAGCAATTAAGATTGTATCTAAATGCATGACAATGTATGACAAAATTACAAAATGCTAACAATTTCTTTGAGGGGCATTTTAGAAGTTTAGAAGTACAATATTGACAAACCCTATGGATAACAACTTATTTTATTTCGTTGGTACTACGTTTCGATACAGATTCGTTTTCCTGGTCGATCTATATCGAAGCGACCCACTCACGAATTGCTTAATAATTATCACACATTTTGAAGGAATATGAACGGTCCTGATTGTTACGATCTAAATGTATATGTTTGTATTTTGAATATGTTTCTTTCATAGTCTTGACAGAGAATTGTGATAATTTATGGTCAGTGCTATGTTAGTGGCTTTTCTCTGTCATCGGATGGTCAACAAACGGTATGAATTACTTCGACAGCAGTTTTTTTTTGGTGCAATCAATGTATCAGCAGCATATTTTGCAATATTCAGTAATGCCAATTGTCCACATTCCAACAAATGTTCCAAAACTGTTCGCTGTATTCACGAGTTTGCACGAGTTCTGAATATAGCATTTATCAAGTTGGTTTGTTAGGGCTTTCAAACGCATTAGCTTAACATTGAAATGGTTATTTTATTGAAATACTGGCCATGTGAATGAACAGTAAGATTTGTCATGTCTGAAGTGGAAAACTTAAATATTGTGAGAGCATTATATGGAACTGAATATGCCCTTATTTCTCTATTTATCGCAGTCAGTCTACTGGGAGGAAACTTGTATCGAACTGACCTTACAAAAAAAACCTATAAATATTGAGGTTTTACCTAACATGAGTACTGGCCCTTGTAAGATGTTAAATTGATTCTCTGAGTGATTTCACTTTTGTTCAAGCTGCGTACAGAGACTGGCTACTGAAGACTTTGTCAGAAACCTATCCTTTATGATGAAGTTGAAAACTTTAATGTTGTGATAATGATTATGTCTTGTTTTACAGTCAGTCCATAACAACTTAACCTGAATTGACTTTCGACCTAAAAGAACTGCACTGATCATGTTACACTGTCTAACAAACACTTCCTTAAAATGTTGTTTTATATAATAAAGGAAATCTTCAAACAAAACAAATGAGAACATGAAATAGATTTGCTATTAAGAATAGAATCCTCAAAGGTCAAACATTACCGTGGTCTATGTTGTTCCTCAACCATCATGTTTACGTCTGGCCCAAAGGGTCGTCAGGCTTGCCAGCAAACATGCGGCCACTAGTTCGAAGAGTTCGACGATGGTGAGTATGCTGGCCCCAAGAAACAGTCCAATCTGGCCACCAATATTGGCTGCACAAGCAGATAATATCACGTCAGCTTGACATTAAGTATGCGTAGTTAGTATTTCTGTGTCAACAGAGTGTTAGTGACATTCCTATCTTCATGCTCGAATATACTTAATAGAAAACTATTTCAAGAGCGCATATGTGCACGTTTGGGAGTCTTTTAATTTTCTGTCCTGGAAGAAGAAACTAAACAAACGAACAACAACAACGTTCAACAACAACAACAACGACAACGACAACAACTACACACTTTTAAGTCTTTCCAGTAAACTATTATATATAAATTGTATTTTGTAAAACATGAGGCCAATTTTTCTCTCTTATAAATTGTTTTGAAGTATCTAATTGTCGGTCTATCGCCACACGCGATTTTAAATATTTCGGTTAATGTAAGCAGATATTCATGTTTGGTACGTGTAGATACTGAGGCAGATAGTTATATGTGCTTTTGACGGGTTCTGTAGGGAGAGAGGGTATCACATGAATTCTGGCACGAGTTTCGTAAATCAGTATGACAATGTAGAACAATGTGATATCCTGGTCATTTTAAAGGATAAATGAATAGACCGATCCAGTCTGTCAATCAAAACTGGCGCATGCGTCAATTTTTGCCAATCAGCAGGCCGGGCGCGCTGTGTGGATTTGTCAGACTTATTTCCGGGGTCAAACGGTCAAACGGTGCTTCGAATTATGCCATTTACACTCGCTATATTTATTACATATTGCTGCGATTTGATGTGTACCTTAACAAAACCATTACGGCCAAGACAACAAAAACGGAGGCGGATCAAGAAACGCGATAGGCCTAACGATCAGTTAAATGTCTGCACCATCGTTCAGGAAACCTACGTCTGCCTGCTAATGAGAATTTGCACGAATTTCCACACTTTTGCACATGTGCAAAATCATTACCAATTGATGACAACAAATAGCAGTTTAAGACTTTGCAAGTGTTATAAACACGGACAATTCTTGTAACTACAAAATTGTTTTTGCTTAACGTTTTTAGTCACTACTAGGCATTGAGTTGGTACGCCATAAAGCTCAAATGAGACAGGCGAGAAAGCCGTGACACGATGTACACAAATCTTCATTTCGGTTAGGGTCAACCGAAATAGCAAAACTTGTTACATGAAAGAACAATGTGGCGGATATTGTCCCCTTCGCTCTTAGATAGTCTTCAATTTGTCACACATTGTAGGATGTTTTAAGTTTCATAAGCACAATCTGAAGGCCTACAGTATCTTGTTAACAGAGCAAAATATTCGAGGAGTAATATTTTTTATTCAAACGGAAATATTGTCAGTGTCAGCAGTTGCCTATCATGCAATATCCAAGTATCAAGATTAGTTGATATGAGTGCCTATAAAACCATGCTTTAAATATTTCAGATTTTTTATAAAGAGTTGCATGGGACTTTGAACTGAATGACCTTCCTCCATGTTGATCGAATACGAAAACTATGTGAGAAGAATAGTGACTTTCTGGAGTATTGGACGGAGTGAAATAAAGTGTATATCTTAATTACGAGAACATTATTTGAAGTTTTGTTACCACATAAATTATTCACATATAATGGTACATTTTAGGAGTAATATTACAACTGTTATTTTGATTAATTCACTGGAAATGATAGCAAGGTATGTTTTAAGAATCTTGCTGTTTTTAGTAAACGTGGAAGGGTAATAAAATTAATAATAATCTAATCAATAATAAATAATTATTCAATTGATTGACATATCAGATTTTTTAGATTTTAAGGCAGAACTAGGCAAACAAACACCATACATATGGCAGGACAATCACTTGGTATTAACTTAGTTTCTTGGCTCCTGCTTTTAGATGCTTTTTTAAATACTACATTTACTAAAAAGATAATTCTGAAAGTGATTGCTAGTATCATAACTCATTAAAGTTATTTCAACATCCAGAAAATTTGAAAAAGCAAAGGCTACGTTTTGGTCAAACCCTGGTCAGGCATTATCCAGTCCTGGAACAGAATAACTTACAAAAATCTCAGGTGACTTTTCATGTAACGGAATAAAGATTAAAACATATATTTAACCCATATTTGATGTAATTCTTCTGATAAATCATAAGTTTTTTAGGAGGTTACTAATATTTGAAGACTGAGCCAAAGCTAGTGTTTATTAAGATGGTGGATTTGGACAAATTGTTCAAGGTTTGTTGATGGTTATTTGCAAAATGAGCTTCATATTAAATTGCACACTGGTTTGTAGGAGGTGAACGCTTCAAGGCATTTTCATGTCTGTTTTCCTAAACCTTTTTTAGGACTTTTACCAAATTTTGAATCAACTTTATTATAATTGTTATGACACCAGTAAGTATCTCAGAAAAGGAAATAGATCAAAATCAGTGTTATGTCCTCTAGGGATATGGTCTCAGATCTAATAAAACAAAGATTATCATTGTTTCCTTAAGAAGCAATAATGTCAATATGTAATTGTATTGACAGAAGGCTTTGAACATAGGATATATTCTTTGCACCTTATTTACACTAGTAGTTAGCAGTTAAACATCTCTGATGAAAAAACAATAGATCTACATTTGTATTTTGTGTAACATTCTATTTCAATGCTAGTTAATTGTTCGGATAACTGTGTATTCTCTGTTCCGAAATTTTGCATCACATGTTTCCTATTTCTGGAAGATGGGTCATCTAGTGTACAGGTGCAGACAGTATCTTGGATCTTCTTTGTGTTCTGGTGCTGTGACATACCTGTACATAAACGCTGGCAGTTCATGAAGTCCAGTATTGTGGAAGTTTGTATGTAAATTAGGATTCCACAACAAAGTACATATAGAAAAATTAAATGGAAATGATGATTAAAAAAATGATTTCCTTACATTCAGTGTCATTTTATCATGGTGTACAGATTTTGAAGAGAGAAACTTTACTGGGAGTTGCTGCAGATCAGCTGTTGAATATTTGCTTCTGGGTATGCCCAGATACGTCCATGGAAACATATTGTTTACAAGCCCAATTACCTTTTTCCAGATTTCCAAATAAGATCAAATAGATTATGCTGTGATTGATTTGTTTACATTAATTGTACAGACAAATAAGGTGCATGAAGTAGTAGACGGGAAATATTTTCTGCTTTTTATTTACCATTCTCTTAATTCATTAAAAGATAGAAACCCATGTTTTCAGATTATTGAACTAAATTTGAACAACGCCAACGGATAAGTAAAGGCGCCACGCGCAGTGTTGATAATCTTTTTATAGATACCGAAACGATCTGCAACATGAACATGTGGTTGTGTTCACGAGTTTTCAAAAATTATAAACCCAAACAACAAAATTCAGTTATCCTTCCCCTGCTAATATCTGTGACGGTGGTGAATAATTGCCAGATAGATTAATTGATTCGAAAGAAATTACGCTTCTTACAGTCTCAGCAGCTAGTCGAGACGCTTTTTCATCGGGCATGTAACTCATTTTCACTCGCCAGTTGTAATCTGCCAGCTAAAATATATTAAAAATCACATACGTATAACTTGCCTCTTTAAATAACATTCACAAACGACGGATACCAAAGTATCACAAGCAGAATTCACCAATAACGTTCGCAATCACGTAACGTTTCTCCGGCGGTGACGCCATTGTGATTTGCCAGTGGTTGTCCCCCCTAACGTCAAAAACGAAGTGGGCGGGGCTTATCGGCCGGGACTGGATCGGTCTATTGATCAACATGAGCAGTCCCACCCTGTTGTGATATTTCCACTTGAACATATGTTCCTAATAATTTATAGGGTACCGTGATAGCGAGTAGACAATATCATGTCAGCCTGACATTAAGTATTTGTAGAAAGTATTTCTTTTTGAACAAAGTATCCAAGATATTTCTATCTTCATGCTCATATATAAAGGAACGGAAAACTATTTCAAGCGTGCATATGTGTACGTTTAGGCGTCATTTTACATGCAGAATATATTCTGAGAATCTTACAATTTTCTCTTCTAAACTAAACACACGAACAACAACAACAACCACAACGAAAACGACAACAACAACAACGACAACGACAACAACACACTTTTAAGTCTTTCCAGTAAACTATTATATAAAAATTGTATTTTGTAAAACATGAGGCCATTTTTTTGTCTCCCATAGATTGTTTTGAAGTATCTAATTGTCGGTCTATCGCCACACGCGATTTTAAGTATTTCGGTTAATGTAAGCAGATATTCATGTTTGGAACGTAAAGATACTGAGGCAGGTAGTAAACTGGGTTCTATGTGCGTTTGATCGGATCTGTAGGGAGTGAGGGTAGCACATGAATTCTGGCACGAGTTTCGTAAATCAGTATGACAATGTTGAACAATGTGATATCCTGATCCATTTAAAGGATAAATGAATTGATCAAAATGAGCAGTACCGCCCGGATGACTGATCCACTGATATTTCCACTTGAACATGTGTTGTTGTTTTTTAATGTTAGGGTACCGTGAGAGCAATGTTTAAATTGATCTTTTCATATAAAGTTAAGAGCAGGAATTCGGTGCTCTCAAACCAAGGAAAATTAACGAGTCGGACCATGGACTGAACAATATGAAAAAATTATATATCACGTTCATGACTGCAGAACACAGTTTCTACCCAGCAAGCTACTGCGTCCAAACTAACTTGAAAACACTTTCCCAAAGAAACGCATCACAAAGATAGAGTTTGATACAAACCAAATATATCATTAAGCTCCAGTTCTGGTATGTGCTCGGTCCTTTCAACTACCATGCTGGCAAGTCTGATTTGTAGAACCAGGTAATTTTGTCTGGATGATATAAGGAAAACATGAGTAAAGAATTGTTCCACAGAACATGCTCCGATCCTGAATTCAGTGACAAAACCTAAAGGCGTATGCTTTGTTTTAAAGAATGCAGTCGTAATGAGACATGTTTTCATTGTTGTTTCTTAGCTATCAATTTGCTATGCATCTTGTTGAGTAAGTTTAAAGAAACCGTATTTCCTCCAATACGCACCGGGTATCTAATGTGTGCCGGACGTCTTATGAGCGCCAGGGTTAGAGCAGTGGTTTAAGAAATAAGCGCTGGGTCTCTGATGAGCATCGGGTACGTTTTTTCATAAATGTCTTTTCCTTTGATCCCAAAATAGATTTATTAAGGAATGGTCCCTAACGCTTACTAACAATTAATTGCGGTACACCGAATAAGCGCGATAAGCACCGGGTCTAGGAGTCCGTTGAAAAAATATGCGCCCGGGCGCTTATTAGAAGAAATACGGTATAGAAAATCAGTGCAGATCCGAGAAGCGATGGATGTTGTCTGCAGTACCATGGATGATACTTGTATGAACGATCTCTGTTAGTTCTTTGATGTAATGATTGTAATCGTACCTGGAGACTGTTTCATGCATATTGTCTGCACAATCACTTATCTGGGCATCGCGATAAGTAATTTTAAAGATGAATATTAATTCATTAAAGAAATGCTTCACTGCAGATCTAGTCTCACCTTATCTTGTCAGGGGTATATGCCGCATTCTGTAAAGTAATTGCGAACGTGGCATTTGATGGCAGCACCATGGATGATACTTGTATGTCATACGATGTCTCTTCACATGGGTACTGACATGCACAACTCTTCCCCATCCTGGCTTCCCACTGTACTTGATCTAAACACAAAGAGTTTTGCATTAGCAAATCCGTATGGTCCTAAGTGATATGGCGTTAGTAAGTTGTGTTTCACCTTTATTGTGTAAGTAAATATGTTGACCTCACTAGTCACTATGTGTCATGTGGAAAGATGTTCGTACATCATATGCATACATTATACATTACACATACATCATGACACTTGTCCCTGTTCTTCTTACACTAATCAGCCTGCATTCTTCAAAACATATGGCAAAAATTGTATACAGTTTACAAGTATTCTTTCTGCAGTCTCCCTTCCTTTTTTCAACAGGAGAACTTACTCGTTTCCAAATTTCAGAAAGCGGTTGCTTGAAAAAGGAGCCTTTGCATGTTTGTTTATGGCAGCCATATCCTTATCCTAACGCAACTTCATTGTAGCGTCAGTATGTCACAGTGATTAATAGACACACGCTTGCGAGACACATGCAACATTTTTGGGGGTTTTATCATGGGAAATCAACAATAACAATGAATTTGTACCATGGAAAATGTCAATGCTGTATATACGTGTTTGTATATTCAGTGCAATGGAAACGATCTTACGGTAACATATTTTCACTTCCTTCACTGAGCAGTGCCGCAGAATGACTCTTGCTGAAAAATACATCACCAGTCAATGTAATACAAAGCATGTGTGCAACTAAATTCTCGAATTCAGTTATTCAAATGTGTGTAAATGCCACAGCTTCAAGAACTATCTTAAACTGACGTGAAACTTTTCTGTATTTTCTAAGATGTTTTTTGTGTATTGGGAGAAAAGGTAAAACGCTACACCAACAGCTTGGAGGGATTCCAAATAGTTTCAAGAAATGCCCTAAGTGAAAACAGCCATGTTCGTAGTCTATGATATTAAAGGCACACTGCCTTAGTTTAGTAAATGAAAAATAAACAGGACACAATTGTACTAATCCCTGTTTACTACACATAATTTTGAGACATATATCCAAATGGCAGAAACTGTGTTATTGCTTTCTTGGGATGTGAAGTGTCCATTGCTTTTGAAAATGGGAAAGGTACCTTGCTGGGGTTCCCATCCGGCGGTGCAGTTACAGGCATCCATGGCAACCTTATTGGAGCACTCCAGAAGACACCCGTCAAAGCTGTACACCTTGAACCACTCCAGAGGGTTGACAAAGTCCGAGGCTTGAGTGTCCACACAATCCGTCCCGCGGGTATTATAGGGGTCTGGAAGGTACTTCATCTGAGGGCATGTATCAACAGACGCATTTCGACAACATCGTATGCACATATAGGTTATTTCTTGGCAAAGATGGACTCGAGGTGCATGAGATTGTATGCTCCAATGCAACACACGTGTCCAAGATATTTATGGCCCTGCAATTCACTGTACAGGGTTGTGTGTCTTCCGGGTGCCACAAACATCCAACACTGGTTCGAATCCTAGTTCGCCATCATTGTGCTTCTAGCTTTTTCAGTCCCATTGCTTTGTCCACCACTTTGCTGGGAATTTACCAAATTATTTAGCGTTATTTATACTGGTGAAATTAACTGATTTAGAGGTAATATCGTGTGTACTTATAAACCGATTTTAACTCATGACTCATAATTTAATATATACTTTGGTTTTGACACAAACTTACCATCTTCTTTGTTAGCCCTATGCGTGTCGACGTCCCGACTGATACGCCAATCAATGAATGATCACTGTAGCTTGGTGCTGTTTCAGGTTCATCGATATATACCTGATTTAACAAAAAGAAGACGACATTGTGGCACCAGATTGGAAGTTTATGAGTGCACTCATCATAACGATTATACATTCCATTATGTTTTCATAATATGGCTTCAGTTTTAGCTGTGCAAACTGCAAGTCATAAATAACCGTCTTTAATGTTCTTTGCCCAGAGATAATATCCCTTCCTAGTTGTTTACTAATGTAAATAATTGAGAATGGGCGAGACAAACCAGTGACAGTGCATTTATAAGAAAGGGTCCACATCGCCAGAGTGTGTTGTACAAGAAATCAATCAAGTCACACAGTCGGGCAATCTAATACGTTCAGATGATCTGAAAAACAGATTTGTCTGACGTAACTTTATCTGGAATAATGGCAGAATGTTGGTCTGTACATGTCAGAGATTGTTATACTACATTTGTCTTAGACTATGAATAAATAGTTTGCTTTTAGACCCTTGACACATGCCTGTGCCTGTCAGAATTATCTTTACCTATTTTGATAATTACCTGTATCCCTGCCTCGTATGCAGCTCCCTCCAGATAGGTATCTTGCATGATGTCAATAGACATTGTCAATTTGGTTTCTTCAGACTCAAGAGCACTGATGTCAGCGTTAGCGTTAAAGGTGAAGCAGCGATGATCTTGTTTCTGACTGTAGTTCAGACTTTCCGTGATGATTCGGTTATTTTTGAAGAATATGACTTTAAAAATATCCTCTTTTTTATATGCCCCACCAGCCCAGAATTTGACATTATCGAGTTTATCGAGCTCTCTCCCTTCCTCTCCGTCCCAGTCAACTTGCGGTGACATTTGTGCAAGGTACCCAGAGCTGTGAAGATAGGCTAGCTCTGCGTTAGTTAGGTTCTGTTTGCTTATGTCAAACTTGCTCAGAGTGCATATAGTGATAGCAGGAAACCTGATCTGTTGTTTGCGTTCTCTTGTAATCTTGGTGATGAAGCTGTAGCTGTAGTACTTCTTGTAAAGATCAGTCAGCGAATTCAAACTCACTCCAGTCATAGTTAAAAGCAGCAATATCCATAATATTCTGAAACACAAATATATACTGGTTTACTGCTTTTTACAGACAACACAGTAGAATTATTGATTCTCATCCATGCTCTTCGGGTGCTTTGGCGTTTCGCATTTGACTAGACACAGTGGACCAGGTGGGTAATGGATTTGCAGACTGAGTCCCACATTACCCCTTTTGTAAAGAGGCAATCAGACGCGAGTGTTTGTAATGATAAGAAGCGAGCCCTTGAGAACATAGTACATATACTTTGTTTAGCAAAATTTCAGGTTGTACCTTCTTCATGATGCAAACAGTTCCGAGACATTACACTTTTTCGTGAAATGTGCAATACTAACGTCAGTGCTTAGTTTGTAACGACAGACAATATAGTTCCAGCTGAAACCTGTTTCTTATGAAGTGGCCTAACTTTGTTTGATCCATATGTATCACAAATCATCTCATTGCTGAATACGGTAAAGTGTATTTGTTTCGCTCCAATGCCCTTGTATTGCTTATAATGGAGATGTTTCAAAATATTTCATAAGACTAGATAAATATAGCTCAACATTTTATTGTTGAATATGAAAATTAAAGGCGTTACATACTATACAAAGTATAAAAAATTACCATTTGTATGGCTATCTAAATATAGAATTGATTCAATCCTAATCATTCAACTGTTGTACGTCCATAACAAACGGAATATGTAATCAATTATTTATATTTTATATTCATGTGAATGTGAAAGTAAGGGTGCCACAAATGAGTTGCATATGGCACTAATGCACAATCCATCCCATGTGTTCTGTACATGGCTGCCCCTCCAGGAGCAATGTTTCAACCAATACTTACCAAAGTAAGGATCCTACCATTCGCTTTAAAAATACTACGTTGCATCATGCTCCTTGTTACTACCACGTCACACTTTCCCAAATACTATTTGTAAGCTTTTTCCCAACACTGTCTTAACACATAACTGCTCCAACGGGATATTGTTAGTTTTAAACATATTTTATTGACCAAAAGACGAACGGGGTTTAGCACAAGTGCTCCACTTATGGTCGCCATCTCCCTAAGGTAACAGGGTATTGCCACCACCACGCCGATGGAAAGGGTAACAACAAACCAAAAATATTCATGACTGATCCCAGGACAACAGTGGGATGCCAGGCTTTGCAAAATATAAGTTCAAGAAAGGAATCACTTAACCGCCAACTTTCACACAGATATCGAAGTATGAGTCAGATTCTTCTTTGTGTATCTCATTTCCACCCTCGACAGTGACATGTGACGCCATGTTCAAATCATTACATTGCCAACAGACGTAAATGGTACACAAGTCCAAACTTAGGTCAAGTTTTCACTTTACACCTCCTTGATAGACGTCGACGTGTCTGACAAATTCTAGCTAGACAGAGGTCTTTTTTAAACTCAGTGTCAACCTAAGACCCGATGGTAAAATTAACAGCGGATAGTGCGAGTCCACGTCATAGAACGCCGAATTGGGTAGGCGGTGCCAGAGGAGTGGGACACTTAATACCCTCATGTCAAGTCAAAGATATTTATTGTACTTAAGGCCTCCGGCCCATATACAAGTAATACAAGTATATATACAGCACATGTTACAGACATTTCACAAAAGAAATTATAGTTCAGATCTGATATTGCTTCTAAGGATAACAGCATGTTTTATAAAAAGCGCTAGATTACGTATTACATTTTTGGAGGATAGAATGGAAACAAAGGCAGTTGAAGGATTTTTAATAAGGAATTATTTGGGATATATTTTGTTCTTAAATCAGCATAATGTGGGCATACAAAAGCGAAGTGAATTTCATCTTCTATAGCCGAGTTACATAATGGACACATCCTTAAACTTCTCTCTATCGAAAATCGTCTGCCTTTATTTACTGATAAGTCTAACAAGCCCAATCGAAAATTGACAAATGTGCGTCTGATATTTCTAGATGTCAGTACAGATAGATATAGTTCTGGTTGAATTAAGCTCTTATGCGATCTATACAACTGATATCTTGAAATATTGTCTAGACAGGAATGCCATTCTTGATAATACATGCTAACAGATTGATATTACCAGCTGTTTGATTTAGCCACACAAATCCAAAGCCATGAGAAAATAAAAGATTTCTAATATGAGACGCCCATGTTGCCTTACCCCTATCATCTAAATGTACAAGCATGTTATAAGCTAGTTTTTGGGATTCTTTGTTCGTGCATCCCAAGGATCTGTAACCAATATTTTAAACATCTGATTTGTGAATTTATATATATCGGATATCTATCGCATTCTCCATAAACCATACAAGTTGGTGTTGTTTGCGGTACATATAAAAATCTTTTACATGCTAAGAGGTGTAGTTTCTTTAGACATTCATGACGTTGAAATCCTCAAATTTCAGACCGATAAAGCATAATCGTTTGGATTTGTGCATCAAACAATTTGAAATATATTTTCGGGGTTAAAATTCCAAAATTCTGGGACACTGACATCACATTGAAAACACTAATTTTTTGCCATTCAAAAACCTTTTTTTTTTAGAGGCGACAGGCCCACCTCTTCTAAAGATAGATATGTTTGCTTTTTCAAAATTAACAAATAAATTCCATTCATCTGTATAACGTTCCAAAATATTCAGTTGGTTTTGTACGCCGACGATAGTATCTGACACTAAAATTACATCATCGGCAAAAAGGGAGAATAAAAATCTCAATCATATCTGGAAACATTTGCACACCATGTTTACCTGAATCAGAAATATCATGATACAGTTTGCTTATGAACAAGGAAAACAATATAGGGCTTAAAATACACCCTTGCCGAACTCCCATGGGACAATTGAAAAAATCGGTGACATCATCACCACAACAAACACATGATTTAATATTCAAGTACATAGATTTTAACATAGAATACAGTTCATCCCAATATATCTTTACAAGAGTGGTTTGACTATTTCTGTAATATGTACATGAACGCTGCTGGGTCGATAGATGGTAATACAACTTACAATAGCGAATATCAGCACACGGATATTAATGTTACACCAATTCTTGACTCACCCATTACAGTAGAGGAGGTTACCAAAGCAATAAATACCCTCAAGTGCTCTTAATCTGCGGGCGATGATAAGTTAATTGCTGAATTTTTCAAGTTTTCTTCTGATATTCTTGTTCCGTATTTAACAGTTCTATTCAACATGATCTTTGATAATGGTGTGTTTCCCGCTCAGTGGTCGGTTGGTCTTATTGTTCCTATTCATAAAAAGGGAGATCGAGATTCAATTTCAAATTATAGAGGAATAACTATTCTCAGTGTATTTAGCAAACTTTATAATGCAGTGATTAACGACAGACTTAAATTTTGGAGTGAAGCTTATGCTAAAATATCCGGGGCACAGGCAGGGTTTAGAACAGGATACTCAACCGTCGACAACATCTTTATTCTTCATTCTATTACACAGAGAATTCTATCGAAAAAGGGTAAGTTGTATGCTTTCTTCATCGACTTTTCGAAAGCATTTGATTTGGTAAATAGATCGAAATTATGGTTAGTTTTGCAACAGAAAGGATTAACACCCAAGATGTTAGGTTGCCTCAAATCCATCTATAGTTGTGTTAAAACTTGCGTTAAAGTCAATAATTCTTTTTCACAGTTGTTCGACTGTAATATTGGAGTTCGTCAAGGATGTGTCTTGAGTCCCTTCTTGTTCTCCATTTTTATAAACGATTTAGCTGATAGTATTGAATCGTTGTGTTATCCGGGCATACAGTTACATCCAGAATTAACTCAGTTGTTTCTCCTTCTATTTGCTGATGATGTCACTCTATTCTCTGACACCATCTATGGGCTACAAAAACGTATTAATGTCCTTGAACAGCATTGCAAGGAATACAAGCTATATGTCAACCTAGATAAATCTAAAATTGTTGTGTTTAGAAATGGTAGCATCCTTACTAGGCACGAAAAATGGTATCTAGGAGGTAAATTAATTGAGTGCGTTTCTTCAGATAGATATTTGGGAATAGTATTTTCACAAACATTGTCATGGCATAAACATTTTGAGAGCTCTATTTTGCAATCTAAAAAAGGCTTTGTTCGGTATTTTGAAAAGTTAATCAAAATTCGAGCACATGAAATGTGATGTCTTCTTCAGAATTTTTGACACTAAAGTAATGCCTATTTTGCTTTATGGTAGCGAAGCATGGGGTCCAGACTGTGATTGTAATTCATCCTTTGAAACAGTGCCTACCCTAGCTTGTAAATACTTACTCTGTGTTAAACTATGTACCCCTAACCACGTTGTACGTGGCGAATTCGAGAGATACCCTATGTATATTTTTGCGTACAAACGCTGTATTATGTATTGGTACAAACTGTTAAATATGCCTTCTATACGTTTCCCTAAGAAATGTTACAATTTATTACTGTTAGATGCTTCAAATGGTAAAATTAACTGGACATCAAAATTAAAAAATCTATTGTATACAATGGGTTTTGGATACGTATGGGAAAATCAATTTATTCCTAATATAAATCTTTTTATTTCTGAATTCATATCCAGAGCCCAAAACACATATTTACAGGAATGGCATTCCTCGTTGTCTAGTGGCTCAAAAAACTTACCTATATTCTCAATTTAAATTTATTTTTGGTGTTGAGCCATATCTCCATTGCATAACTATCAAGAAATTTCGTATTGCCTTAGCGAGGTTCAGGTGTAGTTCACACCAACTGAATATAGAAACTGGTAGATATATAAAGAAACCAAAAAACTCAAGATTGTGTGAAATGTGTTCCTGTAATTATGTAGAAAATGAGTACCACTTTTTACTGATTTGTACTGTCTATGATGATCTACGTAAACGTTTTATCCATGTCGATGTTTTCACCCATCCAACCTTGTGTAAATTTAATCGACTGATGAGTAATGCTACTCCTCTTGTTTTAAGAAATCTTGCCATGTTTATCTTTTATGCTAACAAT